ATAATAATGACATTTGAAAATTAAGAACAGGAATGAATGTGATGGTGATTGTACTTTGTCTGTGATCCAAAATTTTAAAATAAACTTGAAACCATCGTATAGAAGAATTTAACATCATGCTCCAATAAAAATCTAAAGCTTTGACAGTTTTTAAAACTGTATTTCTGATAAGACATGGTTATCTGGGTAAAAGAATTCAGATATGCTGGTCCTGAAGGAACATTCTAAAACCAAGGTTTGGAAGGAAACAGAGTATCGTATGTTACCTGTTCAAGCCAAGCCACACAGAGTCTACTTACAGCACAGACTGCTTTAGAGAAACATGGTCTAGTGACTATATTTTAAAAATTCATTGAAGTTCCTTGAAATATGTTGAACTATGTCCCAACTCTTAACTTATTGCTTTACCTCTCAAAATTCTCTCAATCCTTCCCCCAAATTCCAGTTGTCTCTCATTCCAATTGGCCCCAAAGCCTATCTGAACCCTCAAAACATGTGGGGTTTCTCCCCTGAAATCTAACTCAGGTTCTCTCTTTTTCCTTCCTCTCCTTTATTCTCCATGTTCTTCTTCTTTTTGTCCAGATTTCTGTAGAACCAAAGCTAAGACTGAGTGGGCAGACTGAGTATTCTTCCAAGTGAAAAAAGCCAAGAATCAAAGACTTATGCTGGGTAGCACTCAAGAAGGAATAAGATGTTAGAAAAGTATTTTCTTTTGGACACAGTGAAGGCATCCAGCTTTCCACGTCTGCAGTAGCACAGCACTACATCTTCTGCACAAGGAGCCTCGTCTTTTAAAGTTTTATTTTATTTTTAATGGAAACATAATTATAATAGTTATGGAGTGCAGTGTGGTATTTTGATACATGTGCACCTGTATTAAGCACATCTATCACTTCAAATATTTATCATTTCTTTGTAGTGTGAATATTCAAAATCTTCTCTTTGGCTGCCTTGCAATATACAATATTGCTGACTGCTATGCAAAAGATGCTTCCTTTTAAAAAAAATAAATATTACGATTTTCCCATGAATCTATGGAGAGTAAATAGAAGGGTTAGCCCTGTACTCTGAAGTAACCCTCTACAGACTTCACACCTTAATGGCATTTGGAGAGATCTCATGGCCATTTATGGATAATATTCCAGAACACTACTCATTCCGGAAATATTTCTGTCGTTCCTCCCCAGACTATCACAGCTCACTTTTATTTTCTTAGGAAATACCTGATCCCAAAGACCTGGTATCATTTCTGTTGTAGATATCCAAGATCATCAAGGTGATTTATCATAGTGCACTTTGAAGCCCTGTCAGAACTCATTGCCACGCATCACTGAAGGACATTAACAAATCGCACCCATCAGCTAAGAGTTAGACTTGTTTTAATCTTGTCATTATTTAATTAGGCTCAAAATGTCACCATGTGCAGGGAACCCATTGTTTTTCAGTATTGAAAAAATTCTTGTTGAAATGGAGGAATATTTTCCTGGTATCATAAATTAAAGACAGTAAGATAGACAGTTGACAGATTTTTTTAAAGCAGTGTTAACTCCCGTTGTAGAACACCAATAAATTTTTAAAGGAATTTTTTGTTAGCAGGAGGTCATAAATGTTATGATATATGCCATCCACTGTCCTTTTCTTATAAGAATAAGAAGTAGTATAGAATTTATTTGCTTTAAATTTGCCTAAATAGTAAGTGTAAAGCACGTACTTGAGACTGAAATATCCCCGAACTGTATATTTCAAGAAACTGCCAGCAGTAATTTAAATTGCTCATTTACAATAAGTTTTTGTGATGAGGAATGATCAAGGAAACAGATCAAATATGTCTTATGTTTCTACATTTTAAAAGATATTTTCTTAGAGGTGTATGCCATGTTGTTAAAATATTGGGACTAGGAGGTTACTAAGTTCTCAAAACATAGCCCAGAAAAATAAAAATGGGATTACTGGAAATTTTAAACTTTATTTTTCACAGAATATAAAAAGGATAGGACAAGCCTTCCTCTTTTAGTTTATTTATGGCACTTGCCAAAATCTTCCATCATATTTTATTTTTAAATAAAGGTTTGAAATGATCTCTTTTGGTTTGTATATATAGACCTCTTCTTTTATACCAAGTAAAATAAATGAGGAAATGAGATTAGGGTATTTCCTGTCATAAAAATAGAATGTTGCAGCTGTATATTGCAAAGACAGTATGAATAGTTCCAATGGTGCTCTCTTCCATATTAATCCACTATTCCCAGTACACTAGGAGTTGCCCAGAATACACACACCAGAGGCAGTGCCTTCTTAAAATAAAAAAAATTCATTCTAAACATGCATAGTGTAAAAAAAAAAAAAAAAGGAGGAATAAGTAATAGGGGAATAAATAGGATGATTTCCAAGAGAATTTATTGAGGCTTCAATCAAGAATTTCAGATTATTTAATAGTACAAAATAGTGACTAAGAAAAGTTACCTTCTGTAAGGGGTGTTTTCTTTTGTGAACAGTACTCTTCCTGCTCAGGGGGAAAGGTATGCCCAATAGCTTAATCAGACAGTCTAAATATATATATCATAGATCATAGAGTTTACAATCTGAAACTTTAAGGGGAAATATCTTTTTATGTTTGTTTTCAACAAAAGTCTATTTTCTGTTACAATTTTAAGAATTGTTTCAGACCACTGAGGGTAGCCGTGTGAATCTTTTACATTGCAATTTATATTTCTCAAGAGAATATCTGCATTTCATTGAAATAATAAATCTGTGGAAGAGAAAGATGCCATACACCACTGAAGATTATTTTGCCGATGTTTTCACTATCATTTTCACATTAGAAAGCCAGTGGTATAATCAGTAAAATATGTGTATTTTGTATTAAATTAGTGGTCACCTAATCACACACATTCACCCTGGTGGTCTCTGGATCAACATAAATGCATTAGCTGTTTAATGTTAACTTGATCACAGCTAGCAATTAGTGTTAATTCCCTGGAAGAAGGATTTTCCCTACATTTCCCCAATATCTTTCCATCTTCAAAATAGTAATGCCGACTCTTTAGAAAGTTTCAGTTGTGTGACTTTTTGTATGCACAACACTGAGCCTGTATTCATGACCACACCTGTTTCCTCTCACTGGTCTCCTGTGATGTTATTCTGTAAGTGATAAAACAAAGATCTCTCCTCATGCATCTCAGGTTATCCCCTAAACAGCAGCAAAGGAGCGATGGTGAACTAAAGATCTTTTCCAGGGAGGAAGATAATATCCAGTTTCAAGGAATCTCCATCAGGTAACCACTAGGAAGTTACTCCTCACCACAAATTTTCCATTCCATGTTTCAGATTATCATTCTTTAACATTTTTTAAATTGTCATCTGTCTCAGGATTGATGTGTACATTAATACAGAATTCATGCAAGGTTCACATAAGGGAATCAGTGTTACCCTAGAAGCAAGAACATACTGTAATCACCTAATGGCCTTTTATTTTGCATCTTCCTTTTCCTCTTACTGAAAGGTACCACAGTTTATCGGGAAAACCACAGGTGGTAGATTCCAACAAACTTACAGTTTGAAATAGATTCATAATTGTGGAATATTTTGGTCCTCAGCTTCTTTCTCCATGGAAGAGCAATAACCCAAGTTACAAGACTATTGTGCAATCTAATGAAATTGCATATGCAATGATTCTAGTTAAAAGCTTGAGTACTAAATGATAACTAGGTTCCTTTTCAGTTGCTCTGATTGGCCACAAGGCCTGGATGATATTTTTGCTAGGCCTTTTTATTTTATTTTCCCATTCTTTCCTCCATGCAAACCCTCATTTCATTGTTGTTATATTAAGTGGCCTCAACGAACAATTATGGAAAAAGAAATACAAAGCTTCTGTCATGTTTAGTGATGAGACAAACAATATATTCTCAGCTGAAAAGAGAAGAAAACAATATCCAATTCTTCTGTTTCAGACTACTAAAGACCAAATTAGAAACATTCAAAACTTTAGTTTATATATCAATTTAATCTTTCATTAAAAACATCACAAAATAACTTGTAAGATAAGACTGTATGGATTCCTTCTAAATATTGGTAAAAATTAGAAATACTAATGGGAAAACTCATTCCTGTCACTTCTTTAAAATAACACTTTGGCCAGGAAAGTTATCAAATCTCTATCCATTTCAACCCCCTACATGACCCCAAACTTTAGTGGAAAGACTTATAAATTAGAATGCCTTGGACCCTTATCCAGTTTTGAAAATGAAAAACTGATATAAGGAAGTGAAGTGTTATTAACTCGTTAACATCTGACGGTCTTGTTTTTTCTCTAGCAATTATAGAAACATAAGAGTTTGGACCGAGACCCTTCAGCCTGGTGACTCCTCCCGGTATGCTTCGTTGGTGGGGAAAGCCAGTGCTTGTGAACGGGTCTTGCTTTTTCTGCCACCAAAAGTCAAGACAGTTTATTGGAAAGACAATAGGTTGTAAATTCCAGCAAATCAGAGTTGATACTCCATTGTTTGGGGATTTTAGCAATAAATAACTCTTTACATTTGAAATATGTATCAATTTAAATTTATTGCCAGATTCCATGTAGAATATCACTGCTTATCACCATAACTGGAATTTTATACATATGTAATAATCATTAAATACTCATATCCAAGTTACTGTGGTCTTTCCTACTTTTTGGCAGTCAGATCTGAGATAAGGCTGTTTATTTGTATGTTATTTTCTCAATTTAAGAACACTTTTTAGGGACTGGCGTAGTTTCGCATCTTCGCGCTCGATGCTCCCAGGTGCTACTGCCCGCCCTAGTCACTTGGGGGGGGGGGGTAGTGGGAAGGCGTCGTTCTCCTTTACTAGCGCCCCCATCCCCCATGTTTTCAGGCCGGGTCTGACTTGGTCTTCCCCCTTAAGGAAATGCCCGGGGAGCTCCAGGGAGCCCAGGCGCCGTTCATTCAGCGAAGCCTGGGCTGACAATGCAAAGCAGCGGGGACCCCGAGCAGTTCTGCCCGGGGAGGGAGCCCATGGCGTCCAGCGGTAACTGGCTGTCCGGTGTGAATGTCGTGCTGGTGATGGCCTACGGGAGCCTGGTATTTGTACTGCTGTTTATTTTTGTAAAGAGGCAAATCATGCGCTTTGCAATGAAATCTAGAAGGGGACCTCACGTCCCTGTGGGACACAATGCCCCCAAGGATGAGATTGGAAGTGATTACAGTTAGCCCAAAAGCAATAAGGAAGTGTTGTGTTTGAAGAACTTAGACTCATGACTTGAAAGAGGAGATTGGTACTCGGCTATCCAGGGTTCAGGATATCAAGTATGAACCACAGCTCCTTGCAGATGATGACACAAGGCTGCTACAGCTGGAAACCCAGGGAAATCAAAGTTGCTATAACTATCTGTATAGTATAAAAACTCTGGATGCCATCCGTGCCTCTGAGATCCCATTTCATGCTGAAGGCCGGCATCCTCGTTCCTTAATGGGCAAGAATTTCCACTCCTACTTGCTAGATCTGCAAAACACTAGCACTCCTTTCAAGGGTATGCACAAGGCCCTCATTGACACCCTACTGGATGGCTATGAGACAGTCTGCTATGGCACAGGAGTCTTTGGCCAAAGTGAGTACCTGCACTATCAGGAGGCCCTGAGTGAGCTGGCCACTGTGGTCAAAGCACGAATTGGGAGCTCTCAGCGACACCAGTCAGCAGCCAAAGACCTGACTCAGTCCCCTGAGGTCTCCCCTACGACCATCCAGGTGACATACCTCCCCTCCAGTCAGAAGGGCAAGTGCGCCAAGCACTTTCTGGAATTGAAGAGCTTCAAGGACAACAACACACTGGAGAGTACTCTGTGATGGGGCAGAGGGAGGACTCGCTGCAGACTGAGCCAGGCGGTGCCCTCTGCAAGTTGGCCTGCATGGGGGCATGGGGGCCATGTGGCTCAGCAGCCAGAGCCCCATTCCTGAGGCTCACCCCACCTTTCCTTATGGCATTTTCAGAACATTAGCTGAGACTTAATTTTCCCACAATAGCACTTTTTTGCGGATTTAAATTCAGATGGCATTCTTAGTAGATTTTTGTCAGACCTATCTTAAAATTTTTCCCATATTTTTGGTCAGAGTTTACCCACCCTGTTCCAGGCTGCTTAATCTCAAAGGTGAACATTGAGGTGAGGCATCTTCCACATCTACCCTGTCATACTCAGTTGAGGGAACTGTTTGGCTTTAGGGTGTCTTAGGGTCACTGCTTGGTGGTGAAAGCAGATAGGGTGCCAGGTGTGGTGGCTCACACCTGTGACCCAGCAGGCAGGAGTCAGGCAGGAGGACTTTAGTTCAAGGGCAGCCTTGGCTACATAGCAAACTCAAGGCCAGCTTGAGCCACACACACAAAAAAAGTGACTTCAAAACAAAGCCAACGAGGCCGGGGATTTATCCCACCTGTCTCACAAGTGCAAGGACCCGAGTTCAATCCCTGGTACCAAAAAAAGAAGACAACTGGTGGGGAGAGGGGTAAGGAAGCGGGTGGTGTGGAGCACTTTATCCTGGTGCTGCATTGTACCCCAGGGCATGTTGTAACAACACAACTTTCCTGATGAGCCAGGATCTGCCCTCCTGCTCTCATTCAGTTCTCTTGTCAAATAAGAATGTTCTAAGACCTGGCGTAGACCAGGTGTGGTGCACACCTGCAGTCCCAGCACTCAGGAGGCTGAGGCAGGAGGATTGCTGCAAGTTCAGAGCCAGCCTGGACTACATAGTGAGTTCAGGGCAGCCCGAACTGTATAGTGAGACCCTGTCTTTAAAAAACAAACCTGGCATAATCTGTGCCAAGATAGGAATCTGTGTGAAGCCGTGGTTTCCCCTAATTAGCCAATGGAATGGTTTGACTTTATAAATTAGTTATTTAATGAAATGAAATGTTGAAAAAGCATATGGCAGGGGATTTAGCTCAGTGGTTCCGGCACCTGCCTTGCAAGTCCAAGGTCCTGAGTTTGATCCCCGGTACCAAAGGAAAAGAAAAAAGAAAAAAGAAAGAACACTTTTTAGGAATCTTTAAGATGGTCTTATTTTGCATTTTTAATTTAACTACATGATTTAGCCCTATTCCTAAAATAAGAGAGATATTTTCAGTTAACATGATGGGGGAAAAGCAGCTGAGAATCAACTTGTATACACATATAAATAATGGTAAAAACATAAAACTCAAACTAAAATTAACTGTCATTGTTTCTTTGCAATGAGAATTCGACTCATTGTATTTTACTGGGCTATCTATATTTTATATTGACTCTGTCCTCACCTATTCACACGAGTTTGTCTTGGTGATATCTGGATCAATATGTGTGTTAAGTGTTTCATATTAACTTGTTTATACTGACTCGTCATCAACAAGTGATTAATGTCAATTCCCTGGGAAGATTTTCCCTGAATGTGGTAAGCTGTGCTGTGTAAAATGTCAGTGCTGTCATACTGTCCCTGTGTAGCTGAGAGACAGGATGCTTGATTTTAAATTTGTGTTAATAGAGTCTGAATCTTAAGTTTATTTAAAATATATACTTGCAGGGCTTTCTAATTTTTTCTCTGTAGTACCTCCTTATTAATTTTATAAATCTTAGCTGTATCAGAACTTTTCAAGTTCCAGTTACGAAAGCCTAACTCTAGCCAAATTCAGCAAAAAATGGAATTTATTAGATCATAAAACAGCCTTCCAAGGGAAGCTCAGCCCTCAGGCATGACGTACCAATCTGGGTCTAATCAGAAGAAACTACATAGTAATTGGAACAGAGAAAGTTGGAGATAAAGAATTATTAATTATAACAATGGATTAGAGTATCAGAGGATTGGCCAGTAGAAGTAAAGAGAATATAGGAAGAACAGATCCCAGGAGCAGCCTGGGCTGCTACAGGGAGACTGAGCACAAAGGATGATCACATGGCCATGCTGAAAGCCAGGCCTCAGTGGGGAGGGCGAGGCCTTGGCCTACTGGAAAGCCTAGAAGTCACTGTCTGCTTAGGCCATAGAACTTTCTGGAAGCCTCCCTCCCTGGAATTTAGGAAATGAGCCGTCTAGGGTACCATAGATACTCCTGGGGGTCTACCACCCTGCCTTAGATGGCAGAGGAGGGATCGGGGGAGTTGCTTGAATGCTTTGGTCACTGTGCACTGCAGATGCCAAATGCTGAACAGATGTGGGTGCTGGAGGAGCTGGGCATGAAGAAAGCCATGCTGTGAATGCAGGAGGGGGAGCCTGGAGGAGAAGCCACACGTGAAGACCTGGTGCAGAGGGCCCCAGCTCTGAAATCCCATCCCCTTAGGCAGCATCTCTTACACCCTCTGCCAACATTGATTACCGTGGTGCCAGATGGAGAAGGAAAATTGTTAAAGGCACAATGTGCATTTTTATAATCAAACATCAAGAGCTAGAACGGAAGTGGCCAGATCCGAAGATTCAAATGATGTCAGCAGGATTTGCTTTTTCTCTACTTCTCAGTACTGTTTTCTTTTAGGTTGCCGGGTTCCATGTTGTGTTTGAATGAATTCAGCAGCAGAAGTTCTCCTCTTGCCAATTGAGACACAAATCCCAGAACTGAGTTTTGTTGATGCTAAGGAGCCAGGCTTGTGTCTCGTGCCATCCCTGTCTCCTGTATACCCGAGGGATGTGATATTATTTGGCACCTCCTGTGATATAATGCATCCATTCTCAACCTCATCGCACTATTACCAGAGTAAAGGGAATGGTTCAAAGTTAGCTGAATCAGCAACACCAAAGAATTTATTACATGCCTTGAAGATGTGTCTTCAGATCAATCTGAGCTTTATTTTTTCTATCATTTTCTACAAGGTCTTTGAAGTACAAGTGAAATGAAAAACTCTCTAGTTTAGCCAAAAACCTTGAGTTTATTACTAAAACAAACAGACAATAACAAGAAATAAGAAATATGATTAGAATTTGTTTTGAACACTGGATTTCTGTTAAAACAGAATCAAAACTTTGGAGATGTAATTTTTTTCCATGAGAGAAACTATTAACTAACCATTTTCTCTTCACAATAATGGTACACCTGTGTCATTTCATACAACTCAGCAATACAAAGGAAGAAACTACTGACATACTGGTAAAGAAATTTTGGATGGAACCCAAAGTATTATGCTGAATGAAAACCCTATCTCAAATTGCAACCTATAGAAAGATTCCTTTTTAGGTAAAATTCTTAAAATGGTAGAATTAAACAGCTGAGCTATAACTGCCAGGAGCTGGGGTTGGGGAGAGGGCACACTTTGTACTTGTCTCAGTGTGAACAGCTACAAAATATATGTATGTATGTACTTGTGGATGCATCTATTTATATGCAATTCTCAGTATATATATATTTAAAAATTTTCACATATTAATATCTCCAATTTTAGTTGAGCACCATAGGATTCATTCTTTCTTTTCTCCTTATTTGCATGTTTTTAATAATTACTTTTATTGGTTTTGTTTGTCTTGTCATTATTATGAACTTTATTGCTACTATTTTACTAAGTGTTTCAGATTAATATAAACAGCTTCATGATAAGTGCTCTTTCTGAGCCTACTATTATTAAAACATTTTCGGCTTTTAGAATCAAATTTCCCCATAAGGCCAACATTGAATCTAGCCATTGAATTTGATTCAGTTCTCTTCCAACTTGGTTTGTGACCAGAATTTTGGAAAGAATAAAGTTTGTGAACTGAGGCACTACTGTCATAGTATAAACACTCATTTGCTTTTTGTTTTTTATAATACTAATTATTGATAATTATTTTTTGCTCTTTATGAAGATATAAAAAATTGAAAAGAAATATAATAAAATTGTCAAATATTTATACAATGCTGCTAACTAAACCATTATCCTATTTGGGGCTTTACCAATTTTTGCATGCAGTCATTTGAGGATGAGGGGATGAGAGGGAAGAGGTATAGTTCTGCAAAATTTTATCACATGTACTAAATTTGTGCAACTACTACAATAATCAAGGTGCAGAACTATTCCAATGTCCCCAACAAACTCCCTCATGGCACTCCCTTATAGTCATGCCCTCTCCCCAGCCCCAGCTCCTGGCATTCTTCAAAGGATGTCCACCAATTTTAGCATTCATAGATACATTTTTTTCTCTGCTGTAATTATTATTGTGAAGTTCTAAGTGTGTTTTCATTTCTATATTTCTTAACCTTTGAATATTTCTTAAATGAAATTACCTATAAAGAAGAACTCTAACTTCTACCTCACTTTTTTAAAATATGCAGTCATTTATTCATGCTTATGTGAACTATTAGGGTTTAATTTTATTCTTTTGGTTTATTAACTAATATTATTTATTTTGTTGTTCAGTTATTCTCTCTTTGGTTGTTGAGAGTTCTTTCAGGTTGGTTTATATGCCATTTCAATACTCCACTGTTCATTGTTGGTTGTTTGTTCATTTTAAAGGAAATTCCTGTAATCTGAAACACCAGATGATCCAGGTTCCCTACTCCAGCCCTGGAACCAAAGATCTCTTGTGGAGCTCTCATTATGCTTATTTTAAAAGATGATGTTTAGAAACTAAAATCTGCACTTGAAGTGCAGTCATGTACATGAGAACAAAGTGTGAGCCTCAGAAGCATGACCACACTTCAAGCAGGGCACAAACAAAAAAAAAAATTGAAAAGGAACCGACTTTTAGTTTCTTAATTCTTTTTCAGGAATCTGTCTCAATTTGTATTTTTAACTATTAATTTCTCCAACTTTATTCTGAAATAATTTTACCTTGGAATGGAGGTTTCAAATATCCCAGGACTTACTAAAAAATATGGTGTGTTTAGATTTTAAAAGGGCATTACAGTAAAAACACAAAGCCATAATCCCCCTCAAAATTGCTCCACTTCACTTTGAATGCACTTTTCCCATCATTCTTGCCACTTTCTGC